AAGCTCAGGATGGGATATTTGCTTCGAGATTAAAAGTATTCATCCTCCTGCTCTCCTTTACCTTGTAATGTAAAAGATTCAGGTGTGATAAAGGGTATCCTGGTCATGTTGTTGTGCAGGGAATTGAATGCAGGGTGGTGTTTTGCAGCTCTGGAGCCTGGTGGGATGTCTGACACTCACAATAAATACGTTCTGCCGCAGCACACAGCGTGCCTCTGATTTTATTTCTTTCTCTCTGTCATGGCAGGAATGTCACAGTTCAACTTCACACTCGTGTTTCAGTTTTACAGTGCTCTGGAGGTGCCCAGAGCTGAGAGCAGGGCAAAGGCCACCTCCAGGTTCACCTCTCCCCACTTTGGTTCCACTTGTCGAAGAAATGCGCTGTGCTTTTGGCAGATGCAAATGCTCCAGATGGCACTGGGAAAAGTGCAAATGAAAGATTTGATTTCGACCTTTCCTCACTTTAATAAAATCCTGTTCATCTCTCTGGTAGAGCCTTTTTTTTTTTCCAAGGGCTTGAAAAAAACCATCTATTTCTCTTTTTTTCACCTCCTACCTCTGAGCCTTTGACCTTCAGCTCATCCATGTGTCACTGGAAGTTGTTCTGCTGGTTGGTGCAGTCTGCCATCCAAAGCAGGTACCTTCCAGCATTCTGCTAAGATCACAGTTTGCAAAAACTGGATGTGATCCATTAATGTGGGTGCCTGTTTCTGCTGTGCCAGGTTTGTGCCAGGTGAACAATTGTGGTGAGCAGAGCAGAGCATGGGGTCGTGACCCCTGAATGTGCAGTGGTGCAGTGCAAACTTTCAGTGTGCACCAAAACAAACATTCCCTGTGTTCTGGGTTCCTGCTGGCCTCTGTGTGAGGGACACAGGGGTCAGCTCAAAGCAGCTGGTGCTGCTCTGGGGCTGCTCTGCTGCCTTGTGAACCAGCGTGCTTCTGCAGAGCTCTGGTGCAACAGCAAAAAGCTGAAAGGAGTCACCTTCTGGGGCTGCTCCAACCCGTGGGCCACTACCTGCACCTAATTTTGGATGAGGGAGAGGAGAGCTGTCATCTCCCCCCTCAGCTCCATCTGGAATGGCATGTGTGCTCCCGGGCGTGTGCTGTGCTGATGCTCACACAGTGCCCAAGCCACCACCCTGCATTAGCTTATTCCAGCACATTTCCTTGTTACAAAATTAGATCCATTTTGCAAATTGCTGCTGCCTGGGGTAATTGAATTGAAGGGGCATTTTTGTTAGTTTTTTTTCTCTTCCCCCCCTCCTTTTTTTTTTTCCCCAGTGGAGTAAATCAGGAATAAGTCAACAGAATCAAGCCCTTAGTGCTTTCAGCAACATGCTCATTTAAATTGGATGCAAGAGGGTGTCTGTGTTTACATTTGGCCTGCCAAGAATCTCTGTTTCAGAAACTGGCTTACATAATATGTCAAAATTGGTTTACTCATTAGCATTGCAAACTGCGTGAAACAAGCCACAGATTGATAAACTCGCAGCAATATTTGCATCCGGATCCGAGTGGCACAGGGGGAGGGGAGGTTCATTAGGAAACGTTCCATTTCCACAAGAAAAACAAATGGTTTCCAGTTATAGATTTAGACTTCGTTAATTTTCTGTCTTCCCAAATTTAAATAAAGATTGAGAGGGAAATGTGAAAATCTCTGTTGGCAAACAGGCAGCCTGTCTTAATATTTCCTGTGCTGGTGGGTTGTTTACAGCAGCAGCTCCAGGTAGGCTGATTATCCTCTCCCAGCTGGGGCTCCAGGCTCCATCCTGCTTGGACACCACTGCTGCCTTGATGGATGCTTTTTCTGCAGCACAGGTGTGATGGACACTTTAATATTATTAATTATTATTAATTATTATTAATTATTATTAATTATTTTCCAAGTGTGGAGCGGGCACTGACGCAGTTCATGGTCCAAAGGGCCTTTGGTGGTGCTGTCTGTTCCTGCCTTTACCTGGCCACAACAAGTGTGGGTGCAATGCAGTGTGGCCAGAGCTGGACACGTTGATGTGGCCACAGAAAGGGTGGTCAAGCACTGGGATAGGCTGCCCAGGGACATGTCRGAGTCACTGTCCCTGGGAATGTTCAAACAGTGTGTTTGTGCTGCTYAGGGACATGGTTTWGTGGTGGACTTGGCAGTGCTGTATTAAGCTGGACTCAGTGATCTCAGGGGTCTTTTCCAACTTTATCATTCTGGGCTGTCCTCATGCAGATGCCTCCCCTGGGTATCCCTGTATCCAGGGATTTCTCTCCAGGCTGCTGCCTGTCCTGTTGCTGGTGTCACTGCATCCCTTTCAGCCACACCTTGCACAAAGTTGGTGCAAATCTGTTGGACATGTTCTGCTTTTTGGTAGTATCTAAAGTCGTTTGGGGCTTAAATCCCAGAAAGTTTTTGAGTTTGCTTTGAAACTCCCAACTCAAAAATCAGAAGTAAAATGTCTGATACAACACAGAGCAGCAGCTCTTCTTGTGCTGGGTGATGCTCAGTACCCCATCCAGTATTTCAGATGAATTTTTGAAAAGGAATCCAATAAAGCTGGAGGAAGGACCAGGCTGCAGTGCTGCAGGGTCTGCCGCAGCCTGACAAGTGTTTTGCCTTGTCAGCARACACCAGCACACTCGCTCTCAGCAGTGTTAGTGCTGATCCACAGCGTTCACCGTGTGTTACAGGTTAGGGGGAAAAAAAGCAGGCTTTGGTTTGTGCATCCTGTGGAGTCTGAGCTGCACTGTTGTTTGGAGGTGTGTGACAGAACTGCTCCTTGTCTGCTGCAGCCACTGTGCTCTGGCTAAAGCTGCATCCCTGCACCCCACACAGGTGCCCAGGTGGGCACAGATTTGAGAGGCCAGAGTTGTGGCAGCTCTCAGCTCAGCAAAACTCTTTCAATGTATGTTTTTCAAAGTTTTCAGAATACTTKAGTGAGTTTAAGTAAGCAGTTGTTAGCTGTGGGAAGGGAAAATAAATTTTCTCGCCGGAAAAAATGACATGAGAGGTGTTTGCATTTCACTTACTGTCACACCTTGCAGCAAGAGGCTGCTCACCATGAGATACAGCGCCTTTGAGTGCCAGCTGGAGAGCTGAATGCAGTGAAGGAGGCCAGCAGCAGTGAGATGCATCAGCTGGGGAGCTGAGGCAAGCTGAGCATCCTCCTGCCATCCTCCACCGATGTGTGGGAGCAACTCAGGCACCCGCAGGTGGAGAAGAGCTCCCAGGGCTGGGAGAGGCAGCATCACCCTTGGGGCTGGTGCAGGGGGTGAGGAGTTTTGTGTGGTCTTTGGTCACTTTTGACCATGTGGAGCGTGGCAGCAGCTCCTGATGAGGCTGCTCATGGTGCAGGGGAGGCAGATGCTGCCCAGCTCTGCAGCCCAGAGCTGCTGTGCTGTTTAATCTCCATGGCAGGGGCTCAGGCAGCGTGCAGGGAGCTGGTGACTGATTCTGTGAGTGTTAAAATGCACCACGCAGCAGAGCAGGCTGGAGAAGTCTCCGAGCATGGCAGCATCTCCTCATTACAGCACCCACCAGCATCAGGCTGTGTCTGCTGGAAACACAGGGCCACATGGACAGCGGTGACATCTGTCAGCCTGGCAGTGCAGCTCCTGCTAGCGGGRAAGGGGCCTGGAGTGCTCTGCTCAYAAAGGGCTGTCRGAGCCTCCTCTGTGCCTGGATTGTGCTGCAAGTGCCAGCCCCCAACAGATAAACTGTATAGCAGATGAATTCAGCAATCCTTGCTTTTGTCTTGAGGATTTTCCCTGTGAACTCCAGCACTTATTGAGCAACATAAATCCCAAGCTGCTGAGAAAAAGCAATTGTGCTCCAATTTTGCTGTGTAGAGAGCTGTTGTCACTCCACAGGTGTTTCTGTATACCAGCATGTAACTTCTGTCTCCTAATAAAAGGGAAATTTGCCTTATGTCACAGATGTTTGAAAATGTTTGACGCTGCGTAGAAAAGAGGGTGAAACAGCTCAGTCTCAGTGACACCGAGCRGTGTTGGGGCAGGGGTGAGGGCAGAGCAGACACCTTGCCATGGGATATCCATGGATCCATTCCTGATATCCTGAATGCAGAGCAGAGATGGGGGCTGGCTGAAGCCCCTYTTGTGGGGAGGTTTGCTGTCACAGGGTGTGGGGTTGGCATCTGTGTGTGGCTGTGGGGGGAGCAAATGTGGTACCTTCCCAAAAAGCGGTGTTTGTTTGCCACTGGTGTGGCCTGTGGACAAACAGGTGTCTGAGCTCTTCCTTCTCCTCCCAACATGCATGGGGCATGGCAAAGGTTTTGTTTGGGTGGATTTATGGTACAAAAATGTTCCCTCTTGGTGCAAGGGAACCCATGGGCTTCCAACCGGTTTTCTGTGATACCCGAAAAGGGACAAAAGCTCAGATTCCAGGAGGTCTGGTCCTGTGCAAGCACAGGGTGAGCTCAGCACACATGAAAGGGAGAGACTTTTCTCTCCTATGGGACACCTGAGAGGTCTTTTCCCCTTTCTGGATGGGCTCCTTGCTGCAGCTGCAGGGCAGCTGTCTGAAGTGCAGTGAAAAACCTCAAAACCTAGCAGAGCCCAAACAGCCCCCAAACCCCAMAAGGAAGAAGAGCTGCTCCAATGACAATCTTTAACTGGTAGCATTTTGGAGGGTCTTCAAGCTTTTTTTTTTATTTCAACTTTAACCTGAAATTGTGAGCTGTTTCTTTTGCAGGGAGCACACGTGGGGGCCAGAGCGATGCTGCATTAGCAGTGGGTGGGAAGGGGCTGCATCTCCCAGCCCACCATGGTGGTACCTGCACCACCCCAAAGCAATCAGCCCCTCGCCGAGGGGAAAGGGTTTCTCCACTCAGGCTGTGTGTAGTCAGTGTCTAATAATATGAGCATTTTGCCATCCCTCTGCAAACAAGGCTGAGGCTGCTGCCTGATTGGTATATCATCTCACTTTCTCTCAGCATTGATTTTCTTGCTCTCCTTATTTGCTTCATAAAAAGCGAGGCAAGGAGCTGGTGCTCGCTTGCTCCCTCTCCCTCCCTCCCTCCCTCTCTCTCTCTCTCTCTCCTGTGAGAAGCTTTTGGGAGCCTTTATTTTTAGTATGAGACAAACCTTGCTTTATTTCAGGAGACGCAAGTTGGATTATAAATCCTTTTGTAAATGTGTATGGTGATATTTGCTCCGGTAAGTTACATGCATCTCTGTTTATCTGTGGAACTGTGCTGGTTGGGGGAAAAGTGGGGTTTTTCAGGAATCATGAAGCCCACAAAATTGTGTTTAGGCTTCGTTTCTTTGTAGTCTCATGCCGAGCCAAACTGTTCTGTGATTTTTAGGTGCGTTGGAATATTTTCAGGTTGTATTTTGCTTTGCAGAGAGGGATGCCTGCTTTGAAAACTTGTTTTGCGCTTCATTTTACTGCAGAAGCATGGACAATGATGATTAAAGGGAAAAAGAATTCCTATTTATCGTGTTCCTTCTGGCATTTTAAATCAAAGGTGCCTCCAAAATAATGCAGCAGTATTTGATATTTAAAAAAATGAGTAAGAGCTATTTAATATTGATCAAGCTGAAATATGAAATCTGACTGCCTATTACCTTAGATCAATCTAAAGTGTGACAGCTCGGCAGCAACATGCTCCTCATCAAAATGTGTTAATAAAATAAAGAAAACCTTTAATTAAGAAAATAGCTTGCTTTTCAGAGTGTAACATCATTAATACAGGTCAATAGACTGTTGCTCTGACTTTGTGCACCCTGCCTTTGCTTTCACMGCTCAGCAGCCTCATTCCTCAGCCCTCTTGGCTAACTTGGAGTCCTCCTTGTTACCTGTGAATAACAGCGAGGTGCAGTTATTTCTCTGTCCCCATGACAGCTCCYGGTGAKCTTTCCAGGCAGCACAAGCCAGGGRCTGTAATTCTGGGCTGAGGAGAACAAGATGTGTAGCTTTAATGCTTGCAGACTGCATAATATTTGAGTTTGCAGCATTATATTGATCAATTTATTGACACTTTAATTCTTTCATACTTGAACCGTATCCATGGGAGTTGATATCTTTGGTGTTTCGTGAGTCTTTAAGAACTCCAGGTGCAGCACAAGCTGGAGCTGCTGTGAGAACAAGCTTGAGTGTGTATCTGCTCAGAAAATCAACAGATTAGACCCAGAATAGTCTGCTTCTCTCATGATACCAGGCTATGCTAATAGTTATATGAAGTGTACTTTAATAAGACGTTAGAAAGCTGTAACTGAGTTTATTAAACCCACAGGAGAAGGCAAGCATGTTGTGTCTGGAAGCCCAAGCTGAACTCTTCCAGAGAAATTTCAGATTGGCAATTACTGCTTAGTCATTTTAAGCTGCTTTTGGACAGCTTTAATTGTTCCTTTTTTTTTTTTTAATTTTTTTTATTTTTTTAAATGTAATAGCTGCACTTGCCTTCTCACCTGCCTTAAGAGCAGCAGATGGGAATATTTGGTGGAGTGTTTGGTCTGTGATCCCTGGGCTGAGCTGAACCCGGTGCACAGCGTCCCACGGGCAGCCAGGGCATTCCACAGGCGAGCCCATGTGCTTGGCTCCTGAAAATGTAGTCAGCAGGCACTGAGGTCAGAGGCTKTGTGGTGTTTTTGTGGTTGCTGTTTCTATTTAGACCGTGTCTGTTTAGCTGGCTGCACAGCTCGGGTGAGTGTGCTCGGCACGGAGGACGTGGTACACAAAATGTGCTGTGTGCCACTGTGTTACAGAGGGTACCTGGCAATAATTGTCTTTTTCACAGTCCTTTAGCTGCTCAGGTGTGGAGGGCAGGGCTGTCCGGGCAATGCACATCTCACACGCTTTCTAAGCATAACCCTGCTTGCCTGAGGACAGCATTTCTCACTTTGTTCAGCCCTGGCTCAGTGCAGCGTCCTCCAGGTGAGCAGGGTGATGGTCAGAGGGCTTTGGGTGACCCAGGAGGAGAAGGGGCTGGGTGGTATGCACTGAGCAGCACAATTCCTGCTCCTACCCTGCGAAACTAAAGGCCTGKTTTTTCTGTGCCACATAACTCATCACAGCAGGGGTGCCAGACTGCCCTGAAGCCAGGTTGTGGTTTATTAAGAAAGGCAGTTGATCTCATCCTAATAGCTTTGAAGCAGGGAAAGTGGCTTGGAATGGCTGGTTTGACTGCAGGCAGGGGCTAGTGTGACCCCTGTCCCTGAGGGCAGGTTGCCAGCAGCCAGGGGACTTGAGGCACAAAGTGAAAATGTGGTGAAGTCCATTGCTGCAAGGCTTCCTCATGGCTGAGGAGYAGAAATGCTCCCGTCAGCCCTACATCTCCACGGGGTATGGCTGACACAAACTCAGGGGGACAGGCCAGCTCGCCCTGTTTCTCATGTTACACATACAGAAGTCTTCAGTGTTTGTGGTTTTTTTTGTCCTTTTGCCCACCCTCGTGTTGCAGTGTGCTGATCCTTCATCCCCAGCAGCTCTGGGGGCAGCTGCTCCCCTGCCCAGCACCCGAAGCTGTAACTGAGCTCTCAGAGCTCGGAGCAGCCTCCATCCCTCCCCAAGAGCCTGATATCCACTCTGCAAGAGGGCTCCAGGCTGATGTGCAAACCAGGGCTTGCTGCTACTGCAGGGACAGGGACAGGTTCATGGYGCATTGCCAGCCTCGGGGCTGAAAACGTGAGGTTTGTGGCAGACTCACTGTCCGCTGCTAGCAGGTGCATCACACTTTGAAAGGGGTTTGAAATATTATTTTTGGGGTGTTTGGATCCTAGGAGCTTCATTTTCTTTGAGACATATCTTCTTGGCTGCTCCTCTAGCAGCTCAAACAATTCATAGAGAAATTCCTTAAACCAAAAATCCTTAAAAGACTGATTTCTTAAATATCTGGCTCCTTCTGAATGCCAGTTAYTCTTTTTTTAGCCAAGTCCTTGGAAGATTTAATGAGTACTTTCCTCACCTCTGTTAATCCTGTTCAGATCAATAGAAACTCTACAGGGGGAAAGGTATTTGTGTTGATATTGGGCAGCAGCTGCCTGTCAGTGCTGGTGRTGGCAGGTGGTTCTTTATTCTTCATGTCACTCTTGATTAAGACCTCCTGTACAATTGCAGGACCATTTTTTCCCAGGGAATTTTTCTGTGAAAACAGGATGGTAGTTGACAACCTGGTCTGGAGTTTGGGTTTTCCTGATTTTGCTTTTGGGCTCTCTTTCCCTCAKCAAGCTGAGCACAAGTAGTTTCAAACACTAAGGTGTCACACCCGTGTGATGTGCATGGTGTGAGCAGAATTGGGGTCACTGTGTCCCTCCTGAGCCTGAGGTACCATGGCAGGGTGCAGGTACTTGGAGCAGGGCTCCCCTTGGATTGGGAAGAGGAAAGGGCCATGTTCCTGTTCAGAGATTCCCTGCTYCTTCATGCAGAGCCAGCCTGGTGTGAGATGRGGAGATGGAGCTGCTCCCTGCCAGYGCTGCTSGAGAGCCCAGGGGACAGGCGGCTCCTGGCCCTGTGTGTGGCACAGTGCCAGCCCTGGAGAGGCTGGAAGGACCCGTGGCTTTGTCTGGGCTGCAGGAGAGGCTGGGATGGACACACACCCTCTGTGGAGCTGTGGAAATCGCTCAGCTTTTGTGTACTGCAGTGTCCAGTGCGGATGGAGGGTCCAGCTCTGCCTGTCCTCGGTGTGCAGATGTGACCAAAGGGCTGCAAAGAGCCCTTGCACCTGMAGTGAAACTCTGGTAAATGAGCTCTGGTGCCAGAGACATGACAGAACTGTGAAACTSTTCAGCTCTCTGTCCTTTCATGTGTAACCTCTTATTTCGGAGGAAAAATAAAAAGGGCGAGGAAAGAAAATGAGAAAGATGTGCTAAACCTGTCTGYAGAGACAGAGACAGGTGATCAGCATGGGGTATCTGCAGTGCTGTGCCTTCCWTCTCCTSTCTTTTGCAGASCCCTGGGKGTGTGTGGGGGCTGTCTGTCCRTCTGTCCKTGCCCAGGCTGGCTGTCCTGCCCACCTGAGCAGCTGTGCAATGCCTCATCTGTCACCAAAACTCCCTGGTGCCCCAGCAAAGCAAATATGCTGCAGCAGGCTGTAAAGCTGTAAACATATGGGCACTAACAACAGATTAAGTGAGTGATTTAGTCTAAGGGGCTTGGTAGATTACCATAAAATGTATCTTAATTAGAAAAGCAATCAAAGTTGCACGGGAGTCAATGAGGATGAAACGTCTCTGTTGGCAGCAGCGAGCGTTTTGCCCCCACACCAGGACATGTGGATGGCGATGGATGTGGCTCATGCCCATTTTGGGGGCTTTCCTGGGGTTTGCCCAMTCCAGCTCTGGTGCAGGCTGCTCTYGTGCTCAATGATTTGTTCTTTGACCCSTGAGACCATCCTGTGAGCTGCTCAGAATGTGGCTGATGGTGGACTYGGGTTCCTTTAAAAGCATTAACAAACCAGAAACTGCTGAAGGCGAAGGAAGAGAGCATTTGCACATTTTCCTTAAAACTCTGTACCACTACCCAAAGATATATCTGAGTGTTTGCCATGTATAGCACAGCTAGTCCCAGATAAAGGATTGGGGCTTCTAAGTGCTACCATAACACAAATAATTAATAAGTMTATCTCCCTCGCCGTGTCCTTATCTTTTCAGCGAGCATGGCCATAATTAGCTTTCACCTGATTCTGAGTTTATAGCATGTTCAATCGCTTTTTCCATTCTGCTTGTGTTTTTTCTGCTTCCTTATTTTAGTCGTCCTGGCTTTATTCCACAGGCCAGAGTCTAGAGATAAAAAAAAAAAAAAAAAAAAAAAGCCAGATAATCATCTCCAGCAGTGCAGATGTAAAGATTGCAACAGCCAAAAACATATTGATGCATTATTGGTTTTGTACGAGTGCCTGTTTTCTTTCCGTGGTCTGGGAGGATCTGAAGTACATTGGGAAGTGGCGCAGAAGATTTGCAGCAGCTGCTGGCAGTGCAGAAAAAGGGAAGGATGACTGTTTGTCTCAGAATTAAGTATTTTGAGCCATGAAGGAAATGGAGAACATTCAGGCGAGATTTTTGAGTTTTTTCTCTTTGTGTTTGGAAGCAGGTATGGGTGCTGATTTTTGGGACTGTGAATGAAAGGGTGTGAAAAAACAGAGAAAGTAAGAGGTGTGGAGCAGCACAGGAAGGGGGAGGATGTAGGGGAACAGCACAACTTGAGCTGTCCAGGTGAA